GGATGGTTCATGGAGAGTAAACTACACTGAAAATGCAAACTGAATCATTTGGTCCTACGGGAAAACATTCCATATTCTCACAACTCAGGCTATCTAACTGTACTTAACAAAAGAGCCATTGAAAAATGATGAATTTGAAAACTAGTGACAAAGGCTGCACTTTGGCATTTGTGTCCCACAGGCTCCAGCTGCTGATCATTGACATTGTGAAGGCTCTGTCTCTGTGTTCAGTCTCCTCCTTAACTCTTTCTTCCTCCCTCTGGTATATATACACACACTGTTCTGGGGCTCCTATACCAACAACAACAACAATGTTGAGGAGATGCCTCTGTGGGTAAAAGTGCTTGCCATGCAAGCATGAGGACCTGAGCTCCTACCACCCAAAGCCAAGTAAAGCCAGATATAGTAGCATGTATCTTCAATACCAGCATCTCCAGTAGATACAGGAGAATCCCTGGAAGCTTGTAGGCCAGCTAGTAAGAAAGGGACCCTATCTCAACGGGGACACTGGAGGTTGTCCTGACCTCCAGATGCATGCTACAATGTGTGCACCCACGAACACACACCCATGGGGGGGGCGGAGAGATAGATCATAAAAGAGAACCAAGATCTAGAGTTTTTAATTTACCAAGGCTACCTGAGATCATGGACACAATCACTGTGACAGCCACCCAGCAACCCATGTGTACTCACTGGGCCGTGTGGACACTGCAGGGACTACGTCAGCGTGGACACTGTTTGGGAGTGGTGAGCCTCCACAAAGATGGGGACTTTCATCTACTCAATTAGACCCTGTTCATAATTTGGAGCCAAAGGAAGCTACAGTGTGAAGTCAAGCCTTAAAGGAGAACCCTCCTGTTGGAGCCATAGTCACCACTGTCCTGGTGAAAGGGTACATTAACAGGGAGAGCTTTTGGTTTCTGATGCCAAGAAAGTGACACTCATGATGTCAACCAACTCCAACTATGAGGAAATGGTAGGGGGACTCTTCACGGAAATGTCTACAATGAATAGAGAGGTGACTGGGACACAGAATTTGGATTGGGCTAGGAAACAACAAAATCCAAGCAAGAACACTGTGTGTGTAATTTCCTGAGGACAAGGGTCTGCTGGTACCACTTCACTGATCAACAAGGGGAGTCTCTGAGAAGTGGGGAGACTTGCGGGTAGGGAGGGATAAAAGAAACCCACTATGTTTGTGCATATGAATAGGACCTTGGGGTGACCTTCTGACTGTCCCCCTGGAAACCTGATAAAGATGGAAAGCCACTGTGTTACTAAGTGCCACTGCTCATGGTGAAAATGACTTCTGACTCCTCAACTACCTTTGGACTAAGAAATACTACAAATAAAGTATGGATGCCTCTTGAGGATGTCATCACTTTGGGGTTCTCTGAGAACTATGGCTGCTAATTGCGGTTCATACTGCATGAGCCTCAGAAGTAACACATTCCAAGCTGTTTCAAGAGATGCAGCTCCGGTGGCTTTGACACAGTGACTTGTGAGCATGGGCTTGCACGGGATGGCTGAGACTGCAGTGCATGCTGCCGCAGAGCCCATCCTTTTGGAGATGCACACGGTAAGGAGAGGCGAGTTGCCAGGACCCTCGATGGCTGTCTGCAGCCTTCCAAGTACAATGACACCAGCATGGCCTGAGATGGTCTTTAAAGGTGTAGACGCCAGGCAGCATTTGGCCAGAGTCACACTTCTGGGAAGTGGCAAGGCCATGAATTCAAGTTTAGTCATGTCTTCAAAGTACTTGCCTTGTCTTTAACTGGAGGCCAAAACCTTTTCCCCAGACATTTGTAGTCTGGCCTCAGGGATGAGTGTGGCTTCTTAGCTGGCCAGGCCTTTTCTTCTTCCAGGGCCCTGTGAGGACTTTGAGTGTGGTAGCTTAATCCAGCCTGACAGCCTAGCCTGGGCACATAGAGCTCCATCTCCAGACAACCTCCTGGAGCATTCTTTAATGGCCTCCTGGTACATAACTGATGCTGGTCTTCTAAGACCACCTCCCTCCACATGATGGGTGACAGCCCAAAGATCACAGTAATTCTGCAGCAGCATCCAGATGCAGCTATCCTTAGCTCTCCCTGGAAAGGGTCACAGTTCCAGAACAACCAATGAGGCCTACCCATCCCTGTGGCAACTCCGGACAGGTCCATTACAGAACTTGAGTTTAATGTAAAAGTGAACACAGCAGAGCCAGGCATTGGTGGCGCACGCCTTTAATCCCAGCACTAGGGAGGCAGAGGCAGGTGGATCTCTGTGAGTTGGAGACCAGCCTGGTCTACAAGAACTAGTTCCAGGACAGCCTCAAAAGCCACAGAGAAACCCAGTCTCAAAAA